TAAAAGTGCACTCATCTCAACAAGCCAAAGAAATATAGTGAATTCGAATTGAAGGCAACGAATTGACTGATCATTTCGAGCTACTCGATAACTGAAGTTATTTAACATACGAGAACTGATGACCTCAAAATCCTTATGTTAGCATCCAAAAACAATGAGAACTTTCCAAGAGATGTACCTACCAGGATAAAGTTCCATGACATCAGGATCGAGTCTTGTGATGCTACAGTTCGACATCGTTAGCGTTTTTGTTCTCGGATCAAGCAGGGATGGTATATCCACGAGTGGTGCGTTATCACAGCGAACAATATGACGTTCATCCGTGGTGCACATACATCCACTTGGACACATCGCGTGTACAAGCGTCCTAAGTAGTGCACTCCACAACAATGTACATAGCGCTATACGCATTGCTGAAATATACATTTGCCCAGTGATCATTTCAATTATAAATTTGAAAACATTCATTATTTCAATTGTCACGCTTCAACAGTTTAATCCTCGAAATGGTTAATTCGAAGTGCAGTTGATTGCATACGTAAACCAATTAGAAATTTCAGAAACAAGAACGAAGATGAGCAAACTAGTTAAGCGAACTAGCTTTTCAAACGGTTTCCTTTCAACAATTCCATTGTATTTCACTAATCGAGGAAATTCTTTCCACCATTAGTTGAAAAACATCAAAAAAACAGAGAAGAACGAGCAAATCGCCCAAAGTACATCAGTATTCTTATGCAGATTTCAATTATCGATGTTGTTTTTCGATTTTTTGAATTGTCTGCAAATGAAATTTTTGCTTCAAGTTTCACTCTTCACAATAAATGTGAATTGTATTGTTGTAAAATTCTATTTCTGAGCTGCTCAGCATACATGTCCAAAATCATGACTATTCAAATCTTATCGTATTATGAATTGATGTTTTGATTCTTTAACAGAAATATCTCTGAGAGTGAGAATAACTGTGAACAACTGGGAACACTGGGAAAGAAAGGGTGCGAGAAAATCAACAAAATTCTGCTATCAGGAAAAAAGTTACTAAAGCGCATCGTATCAATACGTTTAGTGAGCA